TGCAAATCAAAACCCCATTAAGTACCGTCTCATACCAGTTAGAAAGGTGATTATTAAAAAGTCAGGAAACAATAGATGCTGGAGAGGATGTGGAGAAATAGGAACACTTTAACATTGTTAGTGGGGGTGTAAATTAGTTTAACCATTGTGGAAGGCACTGTGGCATTTCCTCAAGGACCTAGAAATAGAAATTCCATTTGACCCAGCAATCCCATTACTGGGAATACACCCAAAGAATTATAAATCATTCTACTATAAAGACACATGCACATGTATGTTTATTGTGGCACTGTTTACAATAGCAAAGACTTGGAACCAACCCAAATGCCCATCAATAATAGACTGGATATTTTTTATTTTTTAATAATGGCCATTCTGACTGGTGTGAGAACATATCTCCTAGTGGTTTTGATTTGCACTTCTCTGATGATTAGTGATGTTGAGCATTTTTCATGTTTGTTGTACACTTGTATGTCTTCTTCTTTTTTTTTTTTTTTGAGACGGAGTTTCGCTCTTGTTACCCAGGCTGGAGTGCAATGGCACGATCTCAGCTCACCGCAACCTCCACCTCCTGGGTTCAGGCAATTCTCCTGCCTCAGCCTCCCGAGTAGCTGGGATTACAGGCACGCACCACCGTGCCCAGCTAATTTTTTGTATTTTTAGTAGAGACGGGGTCTTACCATGTTTACCAAGAAGGTCTCGATCTCTTGACCTCATGATCCACCCGCCTCGGCCTCCGAAAGTGGTATGTCTTCTTTTAAGAAGTGTGTGTTTACATCCTTTGCCCACTTTGTAATGAGGTTATTTGTTTTTGGTTTGTTGATTTACTGAAGTTCCTTGTTGATTCTGGATATTAGACCTTTGGATGCATAATTTGTGAATTGGATGCATAATTTGTGAATATTTTCTTTCATTTTGTAGGCTGTCTGTTTACTCTTTTGATAGTTTCTTTCACTGTGCAGAAGCTCGAGTTCAATTAGGTCCTACATGTCCGTTTTATTTTGTGTTGCAATTGCTTTTGAGGACTTATTCATAATTCTTTTGCCAAGGCCAATGTTGTGAAGGACATTTTCTAGGTTTTCTTCTAGGATTTGTATAGGTTTAGAACTGTATATGGAAGTCGTTGATCCATTAAAGGTTATCATTATATAATTATCTGTTCTTGTTTATATGTGTAGACTATTTCAAAACACTTTATTAGTTAAAGATATAAAAATTTTAAAAGTATAGTCTGGACTTACTGATATACATTAAAGATTAATTAAAAATACACTTTTAAAATATATTAGGGTTAAATTTATCATAAAAGATTAAAGATAAGCTTCCAAAGATAAATCAACATTAGGATTTCATTTGAAACAAGAGTTGCAAAATTAAACTATATCAGCTATAAGCTATTAAATAAAATGAATAGAGATTCATTGATACAATGATGGCAAAAATAATACTTCTGTGGAGATATATAAGAACATTTTGAAATACAAAGTTTCAGAGAAGATCACTCATTTGTCTTATAGCACAATCAATGAATCTTTAGTTAGTTATATAGAGAAGATAACAATGTGATTGAGAATTTGTGTTTGGTAAGAATTTTTTTAAAAATATATTAGATTGCAAAGAAAACTTTAGTAATAAACTATTATCAAACTTTTAAATTATCTTATTGTGAGAATACATAAGATTCTGAAATGAACTCAAAATTTGACAGTCTAAAAAAATGAAAATAGAGAATTTGAGAAGCACAATCAACTAGCTAAATTACAGAAATGTTGAACCATTTGCACCATTTAATTCCTATGAAGAAATAATCACATTTTTTTATTCATGGAAATTATTAGTTTAATTTTAATTATACATAATTAGCCATAATCATTGACTTAACTAATAAAAATAGAATGATAAAAAAAGAAAATCTACATGAAAATTAATAAATTCTTCCTTAGTTTCCATTCAAGATCATAGAAAAACTTAAAATAGATATTAAAAATGTATACCATATACTAAAAAGGAAGACAATTCATAAGAATACATTGGGGACATAGTTAACACTGTACTTAGTATTATACACCTGAATTTTTTTTTGCTATTATAGAACTAATACTGGAAACAGGTACCAGGAATGTAACTTAAGAAATTAGAAAAAAGAGAAAAAAATAAGAAAATGTATAAATTTAGAGAGAAAAGTTATAAATATTAAAGTTAAAATCTATAAAAGTAAAAACTGTAAAATAAAAAAATCGACAGATTTTCTAAAAACATTAATTAATAAAATAAAGTTTTAAGATATTAAAGTAATAATTTTTTCAAGGGAGACCTTGCAAAACTTATAAAATATTAAAATAATTTGTAATCATACTTATTGGCTAGTTTAAAATACTTGAAGTTTTATATAAAACAATGTGAAAAATATGAATGCTAAGATCATTGTATGATGTTTTTTAGCAAAATACAAACCACCAAACTTGACTTAAAAAACAATAACAAAAGTGTACCAGTAAGAAAAGACATGTATAATTTGAAACGCTGATCTCATTAACAAGGCACTATAGTTTAATATTGCAGTAGTTTATTCACTACCACTTTGTATATGTTTTGTAAGGATAGATCACAGTTTATTAATCTAAACTATTTATAGATGGATATTTGATTTCTGTTGAGTACTGCAAATGATGCTCTGCTCATTCAATGTGAGCTCAATTTATCAGGACGGTTTTTGATATGCTTTCTTCCTAAAATAACTCTTGTATTTCTCTTTAAATTGTGCACATCTTTCGTGGAATAATGGGTAAATTCTCATATTTTATGTACACGATTAAAATATTTTTTTGATGACCTAATGACTGTGCCTCACTCATTCCAAATAAGAAAATTAGGCACTCAGGATACATGAGAAAAATTTTCAGTCATATTTTTAAACTATTAAATAAAACTGAAGAAATTAAAATTGTTATAGCATTTACTTTAAGTAGTAGGGTGAAATGAACATAATTTTAAGCAAAGACATCTTCAGAAATGTATCAGTTTTACTCTAGCCAAAAAGTAAATTAAAGAAATTTAGAGCTGGGCGCGGTGGTTCACGCCTGTAATCCCAGCACTTTGGGAGGCCGAGTCGGGTGGATCATGAGGTCAAGAGATAGAGACCATCCTGGTCAACATGGTGAAACCCCGTCTCTATTAAAAATACAAAAATTAGCCGGGCATGATGGCGCACGCCTGTAATATCAGCTACTCAGGAAGCTGAGGCAGGAGAATCGCTTGAACCCAGGAGGTGGAGGTTGTGGTGAGCCAAGATTGCACCACTGCACTCCAGCCTGGGTGACAAGAGTGAAACTCCGTCTCAAAAAAAAACCAAAACCAAAAACAAAAGAACAAGAAAGAAATTTAGAAGTTAGAGTGAGTAAATAACTTGGTAAACTGTATTGTTGTCTTAACATTAAAAAGCAAGAAAAACAATAGCGAAAGGAGATGGTAATAACCACCTGGAGAGAAAATATAAAATTAATTGCAACTTTTCCAGTTGGGGGTGGTGATGGTAAGACCGCAAGGGGCTGAAAGACATCCAAGATACCCACATTATGCAGAGACGAGCTTTCATTAGTTGCTTATAAACACTGAAAGAGCAAATATTTTCAGGAGCTTAAGTTAGAAGCAACCAAAATAAAAATAAAAATATAATATATACATTTCAATTATCCAAAGGAAAAAATCTATTTAAAAAATTATTTATTAGGGAAGTAGAGAAAAAGACAAACTAAACAAACAAAAACATGGTAAATAGGAAAATAACATAAGATGGTAGAAAAATGATTTCAAAACAGTAATTTATATAAAGTAATTAAATTACAAATATATAATGCTTTATATATATATATTGTTGTACTTTAGGTTCTGGGGTACATGTGCAAATTATGTAGGATTGTTGCATAGATACATACATTGCAATGTGGTTTGCCGCCTCCATCCCCCCTTCACCGATATCTGGCATTCCTCCCCAGGTTATCCCTCCCCAACCACCCTATCCCCTGCTGTCCCTCTCCTAGTCCCCACCAACAGACCCCAGTGTGTAGTGCTTCCCTCTCTGTGTCCATGTGTTCTCATTGTTCAACACTCACCTATGAATGAAAACATGAGGTGTTTGATTTTCTGTTCTTGTGTCAGTTTGCTGAGAATGATGGTTTCCAGATTCATCCATGTTCCTACAAAGGACACAAACTCATCCTTTCTTATGCCTGCATAGTATTCCATGGTGTATATGTGCCACATTTTCCTTGTCCAGTCTATTATTGATGGGCATTTGGGTTGGTTCAAGGTCTTTGCTATTGCAAACAGTGTCACAATCAACATACATGTGCATGTGTCTTTATAATAGAGTGATTTATAACCCTTTGGATATATACCCAGTAATGGGATTGCTGGGTCAAATAGGATTTCTATTTCTAGGGCCTTGAGGAATCACCACATTGCCATCCAAAATGGTTGAACTAATTTACACTCCCACCAACAGTGTAAAAGTGTTCCTATTTCTCCACAGATCCTCACCAGTATCTGTTGTCTACAGATTTTTTAATGATCACCATTCTAGCCATTCTAACTGATGAAGTGATATTTTTGTACACGAGAATGATTTTTCAAAGGGTTGAGCATAAGTGAGGAAAAGCTATCTCCACAAATACAAACCAATTTGATACAATAATCAGCAACAAAGAAGAATGTTGTATTTATATTCACAAAACAAAATCAAGAAAATGAAACCACAAAATTATGTATAACAAAAATACAACCTTAAAATGCAATACAGTATCTGTAGTTTCAGCAAAACATGAAAAATACATAAATTCATTTTCAGATTTAACGCAGTCCTTTGGATCATTAGTAGATCAAATATCATTAATTGAGCAATTTAGGCTTAACCTACAGTCCATATATTTTTTGTAGGGAATATTTAATGTTGTAATTTATTTCTGAAATAATTGATAAGAAAGTTTGAAAATATTCCATAGATGAATCATCATATGCATCATGCTGCTCAAGAATAAGGCAATGCAACAGCTACTCCAGAGAGACCATGACCTTATAATTAACAGCACAGTGTTGAGGTATTAATTTTTTTATTCTTTATTTCACAATGTCTTAGACATTATAGATTTCTTTTTTTTTTCATTGTCTTCTGGTATTAGATGATTTTGTGAGAAGTGTGAAACCAAGTGTTAAAAAAATGTCATAAAATAAAAAAGGATTATTCTTCACATAACTGACTCTTAGAAATAGGCACTTTGAACAATTCTTACATAACCTCTGGACATTATTTGTGCATGAACACATATATGTATAGGTACATTTGTTTATGTATATACATGTGTGTATTCCTACAAAACCAAGCATTCTATACATACTATATTTTCATCATCTTTTTTACTTCATCTTTGAGAATTCAGATAAGAGCTTATTCTAAGCTATTTTTTTTCCCCTAAGTACTGCATAAAATCCCTTTGTGAAAATTCATAATCTAATATTTGAATGCTCTATTAGGGAGCAGAGTATTGCTGAGTTTCATTTCATTTGTTTTGTTTTTGTTACCGTAGAAAATGGTGATTACATCTTCCACATATAAACCATACCCACAAGGTAAATGTCTTCAATTGGTATTTCTGAGATAAATTATATATATATATATATTTAGAATATTAAAGAACTTTGCAAAATGCCTAAACTTCCATGTCTTCACAAATCATTAATACAGGATTTTTTAAAGAGTTAAGAATTTAAAATTCTTTAACATTTGTAATTCTACCTGCCATAGTTTTCACCTTAACTCTCCCTCATTCCTCCATTGTTCTTTTCCTTCAGATCTCTTCACTGTCTTCCTATTAATTATTGCCATGTCATAGGATAGCAGTTTACACTGTGTGATATGAGAATGATTTGCTGTATAGAAGATAATTTTATATGGTCCTTTAAGCAACACATTCAGTTAAATATATATTTATTTCAATATGCATTTGTAAAAGATAATTAGCACAACAAATTAGATTATCTTAGATAACATGTATATAAAATGTATTTACTTAGATAAAGCACTATGCAATATGCAATCTATATGATATTCCAATTTGGAAAAATCTTTAGGTGTCTGGAGAAGGTTTGAAAACACTACTGTAATGTCGTGTTGCGTTCATCTTCATCATCTTCATTTCCTGTACTATCACTGCTGCTTACTAATAACAGTTGCCTCATGATTTTGAAAAAACTTGATCAGTGTTTGCCATCTAGTGTAGTGAATAAAATTTATAACTTCTAATTGTATGTTTGGAGTAGGATAAACAATGTCACTATTGTAAACTTCCCCAGAGAGTTATGTTTCCACAATAATTTCAAGTATTACGAACTTGGCGTGAAATCTTAAAAAAATGAGCAAAAATAGATATAGGTAAAGACAGACAGATACCTAAAATACAGAGAGAAAAAGATTGAGCAAGAATATATATGAAAGATTACAAATGATGGCAAGTACAGAAGAGCAAAAGAAAGAAATAATAACAAAATGATAAAGAGAAGAAGAATGTGAAGCCATGTAAATCCGAATATGGGCTCTTTTATACCAAGAATCTACTCTAAGACTGAATATTAGCTCACTTTTAAGAATCAAAGTTGTGGGTTTTATAGGTAAGTAATTAGAAAACTCATTTTGCAATCCACATTTAAGAAGTATATCATATTGGCATTCTACCTTTGTGTACAAAGGAAGTAACACAAATTGTTTTGGATATATTTTGTTATACTTGGAGCTACATATTCATACAGCATTTTGAATTTTGGTTATGTTACTGTGGAACCATGGAACATATAGTTGTATCTGCAGAACTTGTTGTCACCCAGTGTAATATCTATGTGACATAGCTGAATTTCTTCCTTATCCTAACTCTGCTTATCTTTAAGAAACAAGACACCTGTGTGAAAAGTTCCCTTTGAAACTAGACTGATGAGGCAAGTTAGAACCAAGATAGCTGACCAAGTGACTTCAAAAAGACCTTACCCTTCAATATAATCTCATTTCCATGCTAAATGACACTCCTACCAGAGTAAGGGCAGTTGACAGTCACCATGATGAAAACAAGAAGAAGCTGTAAAAGGACAGAAAAGAAAGGCAGCAGTTCAGTTCAGGAAAGTATAGCACCCATTTCTAGAAAAGGCCTGAATATTCCTCCTTTTGTTTTTAATGTCTAACCCCTTCATTAGAGAAATCCTGTATTTTAACTCCTTCACCCCTCACTTGTTGAGAAGTCGATTTGTGAGCCATGCTCCCACTTCTCAATTCCATGGTCATCGAATAAGGTCTGCACTGCTTGACGCTCACTTTCAGTTTTATATATTGGCTTCACGACACCAAACAGGGGAAGGTCCATCTTTCTGGGGACCAGCTTTATTGGTAACAATGTAGTTTCTTATTTAAATATGTGGAATATTTTAAATAAATAATGAACAGTAACTAGCAAAGGGAATGATACATAATAGTTGCTTCTGTCTACAGTATGATAGGTACTCATTACAACAAAATTAGAGTCTTATCTGAAGCCACAAAACAAGGAGGCACTAAATTCATTTTTAAATTATATAATCTTATATAATTATGAAATAAACACTATAGCTACTGTTTTTTGCAAGAGCCACATTTAATAAAACACAACTCCTTTATGTTCTTACATCAGACTAAGAATACAATTGTAACCAAAATGAACACTGAGAAGTCCACAGGTATTTAAAAATTAAAAAATATGAGCTGGTAGGAAACTGCAGGGAAGGAAGTTAGGCAATATTTTGATCTTAATGAATACAAAAATGCAACATACAAAAATTTATAGAAAGTAAGTGAAGCAATGCTTAGATCGATAACTAATCGCATTAAAAGAGAAGGCCAGGTGCAGTGGCTCATATCCATAATCCGAGCACTGTGTGAAGCTGAGGCTGGAGGATTGCTTGAGCCCAGCTGTTTGAGAAAAGCCCAAGCAACAGAATGAGTACCTTTCTATAAAAAAATTTTTTTTTTAATTAGCCAGACATGTTGGCATGCGCCTAAGATCCCAGCTATTCATGAGGCTGAGGTGGAGGTATTGCTTGAGACTGGGAGGCTGAGGTTACATTAAGCTGTGATCATATCACTGCAGTCCAGCCTGTGTAATGAAGCTAGACCCTCTCCCAAAAGAAAAAAAAGAAAGAAAGACCTCTAATAAGTTTTCTAAGCTTCCATAGGAAGGTTTTTTTTTCCTTTTCTTTTTGTAGTTCTTTTGTAAGTAACTACAAAAAGAAAAGCAAGATCAGGTATGGTGGCTCACACCTGTAATCCCAACACTGGGAAGTCAAGGTGGGAGGATTGCTTTAGACCAGGAGTTTGAGATCAGCTTGAAGAACATAATGAGACCTTGTGTATACAAAAAGAGAGAAGGAAGGAAGGAAGAAAGGAAGGAAGGAAGGAAGGAAGGAAGGAAGGAAGGAAGGAAGGAAGGAAGGAAGGAGAAAGAAAGAGAAAGAGAAAGAAAGAAAGAAAGAGAGAGAGAGAAAGAAAGAAAGAAAGAAAGAAGGAAGGAAGGAAAGAAAAAGAAAAAGAAAGAAGCAAGTTAAATCTAAAGCAAACAGACAAACAGAGGAAATAGTAGAAATGAGACTGGTAATCAATGAAATAGAAAATTTAAAAAAAATAAAGAAAATAAGACAAAAAGATTATATATCACAACCAAGTTTTATTTACCCTAGGAATGCAAGTTTAATTTAACATTCAAAAATCAATTCGTAGAGTACATATATTAATAAAATACAGACCAGAAAACACATGATTATTGTGATACATGTAGGGAATGTATTTTAAAAAATCAAGACCTATTTATGATTACAAAATAAACAAAAACTCAACAAACTAGTAATAGAAAGGAGCATCCTTAACATGATGAAGGACATCTGCTAGAAAACGAAAACTAACATTATACTTAACAGTGAAAGACTGAGTGCTTACTGCCTGAATCAGGAGCAAGGCAGAGGTTCTGGTCCTTACCCCTTCTATTCAACATTGAACTGCAAAATCTAGCCAGTGGAGTCAGGCAAAAATAGAGAAAGAAATAAAAGGCCTCTAGACAGGAAAGAAAGTAAGACTGTTTCTAATCACAAATGACACAATCTTGTATATAGGATATCTTAAGAAGTCTACAACAAAACTTCTAGAATAAATAAACTACAAGACACAAAATCAAGTTTAACATAGAAAAAGCAAGAGTATCTCTGTATACCATCAACAACAATCCAAAAATAAAGATTAAATTATATTTCAAAAATCAGATACTTAGGAATAAATAAGTATAAACTGTATACTGAAATCTAGAAAAAGAAAGACCTTGTTGAAATATGTTTAAGAAATTAATGAAGATCTAAATCAGTGGTTCCCAATCCAGGGTAAGTTCACTCCAGGGAACACGTGTCAACAGATAAATTTTGCCTTTCATTACTGGAAGGGTGCTGATAGCCCAGGGATGATGATAAGCATTCTGTAGTACACAGGACAGTTCCCTAAAAAATAATTAACTGGTCCAGAATTTTAATACTGCCAAGAGTGAGAAACCTTGATCTATACAAAGGAAGAGACAGCCTATGTTCATGGAATAAAAGATGTAACATCATTAAGATGGCAATCTTCCCAAATTGATTTATACATTCAACACAATCTTGACCAAATTTCCAATAAGCTATTCTCACTTGAAATGGAAAGGGTGATTCTAAAAATTACACAGAAAAGCAAAGTCCTATTATAACTAAAATAATCTGGAAAATAAGAACATGTTTCAGGTCTTAGGCTTCTTGATTTCAAGCTTACTATAGAGCTATAGAAATCAAGGGCATAAGGATAGATACTATAGACCAATGGAATAGAAATGTAAGTCCAAAACCAAACTCAAATTTATGGTCAATTGGTTTTCAACAATAGTACTTAGACAATTGGGTATCCACATGCAGAAAGATGACTTTAGACTCCTACTCCACAAGCCTATGCAAATCTTAACTAAGAAAGCATCAGAGACGATTGTTACATAAATGTAACAATTATACTTACGTTACTTCTAGAAGAAAACAGAAAAACATTTCTATGATCATGTGATTTTCAAAGATTTTTGAAAAATTCTTTCAAAATTTTTGAAAGATACAGCACTAAAATACTGTTGACAAAAAATAAATAAATTGAACTTTACAAAATTGAAATCTTCTGCACTTCAAAACACACTATGAATAAAATGAAAAAGATAAAACAAGAAAGCAAGTGAGAGACAATATTTTCAAATCACACAATTGATAAAAGAAGTATATTTAGATTCTATAAAGGACTCTTGAAAACCAATAAGATAAAAAACAACTGAAATGAAAAACTGGGCAAAGATGTTTTACCAAAGAAGGCACATGAATGTCTAATAATATTCCTAAGGATATGCTCAACATTATTAGTTATTAGGGAAGTGTAAATGTAAACTACAATTAGGTACCTTTTCACATATGCTAGATTGACTATAATAAAAAATACGCAATATCAAGTGTTGGTGAGGAGGTGAAGAAACTGAAACCCCTATTGATTGCTGGTGAGAATATAAAAT